GAAAGGAAAGGAAAGGAAAGGAAAGGAAAGGAAAGGAAAGGAAAAAGGAAAGGAAAGGAAAAAGGAAAAAGGAAAGGAAAAAGGAAAGGAAAAAGGAAAAAGGAAAAAGGAAAAGAAAGGAGAAAGGAAAGGAAAGGAAAAAGGAAAGGAAAAAGGAAAAAGGAAAGGAAAAGAAAGGAAAAAGGAAAGGAAAGGAAAAAGGAAAGGAAAGAAGGAAAGGAACATACTGCCGGGAGAGAATGCTTAAAGAAAGATCTGCATAACACACCTATACTTCCTTAAAAGTTTAATTCTTCACATTAAATGACAGAGATTAATTGCTGTTCCCTTCCAGGTAGCAGCATCTATTGGGCTTTATTATTGATTGCATAGTTTTTGTGTGCCAAGCTACCCAGAGAATCATCTGCAACTGGGCACTTTAGAGATCTGCTAGACACTGAGGGTCACGCATTGGGTACCCAGTCGCCATTCAACATGACGGCCACCTTCCATCAAATACCTGTTGTCGAAGTAGAAGAGTCCTTTGGTGGGCTCCACCCTCAGGAAGGTAGCCACGTCCTCGTAGTTCGGAAGGGTGGCACTCAGCCCGATCAGCCGCACGTCCTCCTGGGTCATCTCGATGTTGCGGATGGTTCTGGCCACCAAGGCTTCCAGAACTGGGCCCCGGTCATCGTGGAGAAGGTGAATCTCATCCTGCCCGGAGGAGAAAGGGTGACTCCATGAATAGCAAACCAAGGGAGGTACAGTTGCCAAGAGCTGTAGTGGCGCAGTGGTCAGAAGGCAGGATTGCAGGCTGACTCTGTCCACTGCCACCAGTTCGATCCTGACTGGTTCGAGGTTGACTCAGCCTTCCATCCTTCCGAGGTGGGTCAAATGAGGACCCAGGTGGTTGGGGGCAATAGGCTGACCCTGGAAACCGCTTAGAGAGGGCTGTGAAGCTCTGTGAAGCGGTACATAAGTCCAAGCGCTATTGCCCTTCCTTCCTTCCTTCCTCTCCTTCTCCTTCCTGGTGCCACAGTGGTTAGAATGCAGTATTGCAGACTGACTCTGCCCGCAGCCAGGAGTTTGATCCTGACTGGCTCAAGGTTGACTCAGCCTTCCATCTTTCTGAGGTCAGTCAAAAGTGGACCTAGATGGTTGGGGGCCATAGGCTGACTCTAAAAAACACTTAGGCTGACTCTAAAAAGCACTTAGAGAGGGCTGGGAAGCACTGAGAAGCAGTACATGTCTAAGGGCTAATGCTATCTATCTTCCTTCCTTCCTTCCTTCCCTACCTACCTACCTCTCAGTGGTTACAATTGCAGCATTGCAGGCTAACTCTGCCCACAGCCAGGAGTTCGATCCTGACCGACTCAGCCTTCCATCCTTCCAAGGACCCAGGTGGTTGGGGGGGGCCATAGGCTGACTCTGCAAACCGCTTAGAGAGGGCTGGGAAGCACTGGGAAGTGGTATGTAACTCTAAATCCTATTGGTATTCCAACGGATCGTGCTGCCGTGGGGGGGAAGGATGCCTGGATCCCATCTGGCCCCAACAAGAACCTTGAGAGGGTCAACTCACCAAGATAATGAGGCGCACCAACTGGGTGTAGGTACGCTCCCCTCCTTTGCGAGTGATGATGTCCCACTTCTCTGGGGTGCAGACGATGATCTGGGTGGCGTTGATTTCTTCTTTGCACAACTGGTGGTCGCCGGTCAGCTCAGCCACCGTGATGCCGTAAGTGGCCAAGCGCTACAGGGAAGGAGGGAATGGGGTGAAAAAGGTATTGAGTGACTGACTGACTGACTGACTGACTGACTTCTTCATTGGCCAAGGGTGATTGGACACCCAAGGAATTTGTCTTTGGTGCACGTGCTCTCAGTGTACATAAAAAGAAAAGATACATTCGTCAAGAATCACCAGGTACGACACTTAATAGTCATTATAACACTTAATTGTCAAGCCCGAAATCGACATTTGCGTAGCCATTTTATTTAGCCTTATTATATATTCCTTTTCTATCTCTTTGCTGGCCGTGGAGGGTGGGGAATGGTTTCCACATTCCTAAGGTGGGATGAATGGAGATAAGAGAGAGTTGTTTAGGCTAGCTGACTCTCCTTCCCGTGGGAAAGAAAGCTGACCCTGCTGAGACCTGGAGGTGGAGTGGAGATAGAGAGAGCTGTTTAGGCTAGGTGGTTCTTCTTCCTGTGGGAAGGAAAGCTGACCCTGCTGAGACCTGGAGGT